AAGTAGACCTTTGATAAATATTGGTGTAATGGGTGAGAAACCCTGGAACGTTTTCACATTTCCGCCTGCCATGACCCAAGGGAACGGTCCTGGACCAGGAGAAAGGACACCTCCGCAAAGGGCTAAGGGTGCAGGAGCTCCAGGGTGGATCACCTGTGCAGAAAAGTGGATGGGATGTGGGCAGGTAGTGTGGAATGTAGGACATCCACCGGTCCTTATCAAAAGTACGCTCGAAATGAGTCGTTCACTTATTATCTTATCCGTAGTGTTCGATAGCCCAAAGAACTGCTCTCTAGTACTACGGATAAGATAGCAATGGAGTGCCCCCCCCCCGAACTGGAGTTTCACCGGTTTCTCATACATTCTGTTGTCAGGAGCTTGAGAGAGAGAGAGAGGAGAGAGAGAGAGCAGAGAGGAGATAAGTAAACCTTGTTCTTTTCATGTGCTTTTGGAGCACAGATGGGGAAAGCACAGTATTCACACCAGAGCCGGGTTTTGACAGAGAGGACCAACATAAGGCATCTTACGCTGTAGCCTTCTATGTAAAGTTTTAGCGCTTTCCTTAAAGATATTGTTTTAGGTGTGTTCTAACTTTACAACAGGGTTTAGCCGTCATGAAAAACTACGACATTACGCTAGAGTTTGGATTCGATGGCGACGAGGTGATTTAGAATTTTTTCTCTAGAAGCTCAAATTCAATGTAAACATTCACAGGTAACTTCTTGTAAAATTGGGTATTTTGGCAAACCTGCCGTTGTCTGTGACGATGCTCTCCAATTGATAAGAAGGCTGGAGTTTTGGAAATGGCGTTAGCAAATGTTTTCTGTATATCGGACATACCAGCAGTGCTGAACAGTCGCCCCGTAAGTTGTTTTGAGTCTATGTTTACTCCTTATATCTTTCAATTTTCTCGTTCTACACTTGTCACCAAGCAGAGTTTCTATGTTACAGTGCCGAGAAAAACATTTGTGTGAACGCCATCGATACATTTGAAGGATTTCTGTCCGCTTCATGTAACGTAAGCCCATCTTTCGAAACCATCGGAACGCTTCCATACGGCTTTCTTTTGTATCGTACGCCACTACGACCGGCTAAGATTTTCTATACCGTGGAACCCAGCTATGTTGTCACCAAGAAAAGACCTCAGTTTGGAGCTTTCAGGTTCGATTTCTTCTCAAGTGTAACCTGCTTACTACATTCTTGAGCGTCATTATTTTATCGCCTACTTCATTGGTTTTGTTGGCCATTTTCGAACTCTTTCACATCAGGTGTCATTTTACAGATTTCGACAATCTTGACCACATGGAGCTATCGGTCGTTGCCCTGGATAAGGAGATACAACTGCCAGCAGGAGATTCGCGGTGGGTTTTATCTCTGTTCATGCATCTATTTCATGCAAGCTTTACGAATCTTTTCAATGGCTTGATTTTTTAAATCTTAACACATTGAAGACCGTGTGATTTGATGTCATGCCACGATTTCACATGAAGCAAACTAGTTTTCCTTAATTTATTTAACGTTTTTTTCGTTCCACAACTGTTCATGTACATTATTGGATCCTAAAACATTTTTTTCTTACTGATAATGAAAACGCTGAAGGATTATTGCCTACTGATGAGAGAATACGAAAAATGTCGAAGCAGTACGCGCATAACGGCGGTCGTCAACGTCTTAAACATTCTGATAAATTTTCGATAACAACATTCCCTTTCCTAACTCTTGACGAGAACGAAAATCGCACTCTACTCTATTTTGTTCTCGTGATAGTTTCTTCATTTATCAGTTCTGTTATACAGTATGATTCGGTTTTGATGATCCTAAATACATCAATTTGGCACAGTACTTATTAGAAAGACCTCTCAGTTGATGATGGAGGTATATATGATTCTGCTCGGAGCTCTTCTGTAGACTCATTATTTTCATTCTCACAGCTCTAATTCTCAGTGCTCCTTTTTCCTTCAACTGTACCTCACGCTTCTACTTACCTAAACCTGGGACCTTTCATGGTCTGTTCTCTCTTGGAACATGCTCACTTGTCAAGTTACTCATTTTCAGCAATCCTTGGTCTACAGTTTCTCCATGCAAGGCCGGTTTTCAACTACGCTTCTCTTCGCCGATGCTGTTTAGTTATGGAATGTGGCGGCGCCTAGAACGCCATCTAGCAAGGCCTGCAGCCGTAAAAGAGAACGTAAACCTGTATCGATACATGAGCGGTTTCAAGTTTGAGGTAATTTTCTTCCATTGATTCTAAAACTCCCACATTTTGAGGTTCTTCAAATTTATGGTCTTTTTTCAGCAATCTGAGCTACTTATGCGTACATGCTTTCCGGAACCATTTCGCCAACATTGGTACACTGTGTGTACAAATTCTCTCCTAGAGGAGAAAGACTGCGTCATCTCTGAAGTTTGCATAGGAAACGGCTCCGATCTTGCCGAGGTGAGAGCACCCGTGTGGTACATTACTGAAAGAAGCTTCAAACAGTAGCACATTATTCGTTGCTTTTAGATAGTTTCTATCGTACGCGCGCAAGCAATACATAACAGTCTCTGGGAGTCGCTGCTTGCGATGACCAGTGGTAAATGGAAGGAGGGACAGCCCCATGTGGATATTCGCATCGTTCCATCAGCAGCTCGTTACGAGCTGTCGTTTTGTGTGGCTAACAAAATGTACCTGGGTGAGTTTCTCTCTATACACTCTGCTTCTTTCTTGAGTTAGCCCGTTGTTGTTCTTTGGCTTGTTTGCGGAAATTTCCACATCGAACTAGGTAGCTTTTCAAATGTTAGGTGTTTACAGTCCGAATCGAGCTGACGAGGGAATTCGAATGGATAGGTAGTGTCGAGGATTCAACTGGCGTTCCTGTGCGCATGGAGCTTAATTCTTTGTTGACCACAAGGATCAATGCGTAAGTTTTCAAATGACGCTGCACTAAAATTTGAAAGGGCCTCTCATACAAAGTACATGTCATTAAGATTGATTGTTACATGCTTGTTAACACATAGACGATCGCACTTGTGCGTCTATTGCTGCAACTTTTTATTATTTTTTTACCTAAAGTCGCTTCAAAATTTTTATCATTAGTAATGTACCGCCCGGAGGGCCACGCTGTCGTCAGTGAGTTAAAAAAATCTTCTCCTCAAATATGGGGAGTGGCTCCCTTTGGAAGTTGGTTGAGTTCCTCAATCTACTATCTTTAGTGATGCTTCCAGTTTCTGTGAAGTGGTGATTGCGCATGAATGCGTTGCCTGAGCTTGTGGGAAGATATGATATTAAAGCAACAGTTCAGGAACGGTTTCGCGGGAAAAAACCACCAATAATGAAGTTGTAGATGAAAACCAGACGATTAATGTATGAAAAACTGGAAAAAAACGTCGGGGAGGGTCTTAGACAGGTACTCTCCCTCTGCCGCTCAGCAATGGATAAAGACGCACGTTGGACGAGTTGTCTGAACGTGCCCGCTGTAAACGCGCTCCATTTTTCAATCAATTTTCCCTGTGGTCCCAAAACGAGCACGATTGCCGACGCGTCCAATGACGGCCGGCAAGGGGGCGGGATTGGGGAAATCCCCAAGAACACCCATGTTTGAGGGACTTTCCACCCTGTTTTTGAGTTTCTGAGGTAAGTTCGTTTATTATTTCCACTGCATATGTTCTTCACTAGGGCTCGTGTATCCCTCAGTAGTAGTGGCATTGAAATTTTCGGACCCTCCCTGAACTGTTGCTTTAATTTTCTTAAGAAGGCCGATGAATTCAGCAGGTGAGCTGATCGCTGTGCTCAACATTTTCAATCACTCAAAGGAAACTGGGCTCAAATTTGCGCTTTCTAGTTATGATAGATGTCAGACTTCGCGATTGCAATTACGCGATGGAGTCGCGAGTGAGGCAGTGTGCGATGGAATCACCAGTAAGGCCGAGTAGTTCAGAGTCCGCGGATTCGCGCGCGAATCACAAGATGGATCAAATAAACCACAAGTGCTCTGATCAATACTGCGAGGTGTACTTCAATCCCGCCGCCATTTCTGCTTGATGGTGATGACTGAATAACGAATGTTCATGATCTACTTGTTTCATATTTAAAGTTTCTAATAATCGCTTGCGATCGGGTGCCGAAGGCGCGCGCGTAATCGGCGGACTCTGAGCACCGACCCTGGGGGCGGATGCACGTCGCAGTGGAACAATTGGCAGCTCAGATGAAAGCACCGCGCCCCACTCATAGATTCGCGCCCTGCCCACTCAGCGAGTGCTTATCGCATTTGCCATTGTGGCGCGGATGTCTGTCCCTGTCTTATTATCTTACCTGTCTCGCGTATAATTTCATGAGAATTTTGCTCTCCGTAACCTTGAAGCCTCTTCCCTCACTGGTTTGAATGGCTGCGATTTCGTTGAGTGTTCGTGACTGGTTTCAGGACCGCTCATTTCTGTTGCGATGACTTTTAAGGTTGCTGAAGGATCGGATGCGAATGTGTCCGGTTTGCAGTCGGGGGCCGGGCGCAATCAACTGACCATCGGAAACGGATAATGAATCATGATCATTGTGTAGTCAGGCCATGGATAAAGTTGGCATGCTTGGTTGCCATGTTAATCAGAACGCTAAGGTCGCAATAACGTTCATGAGCATGTGGTGCTCAGAATTCACTGTCGAGGGGTTCTGTGCAGCTAGCTAAACCTGGTGGGACTTACTCGCGTTTCAGGAAATCACGACAGAGAGCGGCACTCGTCCACCAGCCACTGCCCGAGCTGAAGCTCGTACTCAACGTGTCCAGTCCGACACAGCCCTGCGCGATATCAGATCTGGTACGAAAATTGGGTGGAAACGTGACAAAAGTGGCTCGGAGAATGGTATCTCAAAGTTTTATACATCGCCTCTGCTAGAACTTCGCTACTGCCAGTACTGCACTCATTCTTGGCGTAGACTCGCTCCTGTGTAGTCATTCTTGTAGTTGGAAGGATTGTATCGGTCAGATTATAATGCCGTTATCTCGTGTGAGTCACTTTTGCCACTAATTCGGCTAACTCGCTGATGGGCGGTCTAGACTATTCATCGTGACAGTAGTGAAATATAGGAAAGTTTGAAACCTTCGGACGATATTCGGCTCAGTGTGGCGTCTACGAGAATGACCTGGCAGGTCGAGCGTCAGTTTGTTACGCGCTCCCTCACTGACGGTGCGCACATGGAAGGGGGGCGCAGTGTTATATTCATCTTGCAGGCACACCTCCTCTCCCCCAATGCGAACTATGGTCAGCCTTAGCTGCACGCGCGCTGCTTCCATGGGACGACGATAACAAAACACCTCGACGCCATGCTGTCGAGCGACACTCAACCAGTCCGGCACCGTCACGTCCACCTGGATGTGTTGGAGGGAGCGGTCCTGGCAGTGGTGTACCACAACTGAGCCCTTTGGAAACGGCTCGGTTGAAAATGACGGTGAGTCTAGTCGCAGCTAGTTTCTCAGTTTTCGGAAATCGCCCAAAACAAGCTGGTCTGGACTTCAAACTGCATGTTGTGAAGCTGATGCCCAATTTTTCGTGTATCCAATTTCTCACAGTCAAGCGTGCATTGAGGAATCGCGACACATGGACACATAATATTTATCTGACCTACTCTCAAAAGGGTTTTTCTTCGAGATGCCATCGCTGAAAGTTTTGAGGGTGTTTGAAGTCAAGTAACAGAGGAAAATACAGTGCTACGCTGCTTTGTTTATGGCTCCTTCGTCCGGGCGTGCCTCGTTTGTCCGCTTTCCTCTGGCAACCCTGCTTCATCTGCGGACAAGAAAGGATCCCACTCTCTCCCATGGCCTTTCAGTCACGAATGGTGCACCTCACTTTCTGTTACAATCCTTGTGGAACCGCCTGATGCGAAGTGACCGCCTCCCATAATCTGCCTAAACGCCGTTCTGCTGAACGCGAAGTTTGCGAAATCGTTGATCGCGACACGGCGAGTGTTATTCTCGTCATGAAGATCACTGGAGCCCGCAACGGGGATGTGTTCGTTGGCGGCAGCTTTCACGGATAAGCGTGATGGACCTCTGGGCGACTCGAGGATGGATCGGTTCGGCTCCTGATGGTGCGCTAGTTTTGAACCTCTTTATCCTTTCGGCCTACCTAAACTTTTGCAAAAACGCCGTTCCTCTAGACCCCTTTTTGACTAGTAGCACGCCTTTTCGACCGCGAACACGTGCTGAAAACAGGGTTTTGAGCACAAATTTCATTTCAACCACCAATGCTCAAGGAATGTCCAGCCCCTTGACGTTTACTTTTTCCTGCCTTTTAAAGCTATGCTTTAAAGGCTTGTCACTTCTGTCGTTACTTGCTCATATGTGAACTTTCGGGATTAAGCCGACGAGATTGCGATAGGATTCTGCTTGTGCCTTCCCCATGTGGTAAGTTTCGACACGCTGCCACCCCTGAATAATAGCCCTCCAGATGCGCCGCGAAAAAGCGCGAGAGAACTTCCTCCAGTCATATAGACGGGCCGGCGGCCCGGGGCGCAGAATGGGACCACTTCCTCTGCCCGTTGACCTCCGATAATGGACGAGTTGGCAACCAACTAAGAGGTCGTCGGCACTCGTTAAACCATAGCTGCCATCATACCACCAGAGATCATACCTTGATTGATATAGCATTCCATGAGAAAAAAATTGGATACGCGCTCGAAGTGGCATACCTTATCAGAATGATAATCGAACAGCGATCTGCTGAGGGGCGGAGCACAGGCGGAGGCGGAGCTCAGAAAGGATTGGCAGCCCCAGGCGCTGCGCTGCAACGAGCGCACCTTTAGTCACAAAAAGGCCACATCTCGATTCCTTTGGGCTTCTAGTAGCGGCTGGGAGTGGCTGTCGTTTTGGCCATGGGCTTGCCACAGAAATTTGATGTGAGCTTTCGGTTAAGCACTCGCGACTCCATAATAAGACTTGTTTCATTGGTCTATTTCCTATTTAAGGCACCTAGATTTAAGAACTTTCTTTCCTACTCATGGCACGCAGCAGCAGGGTACCTTGAGACACACCCGGGTGAATTTGAGACACCTGTACAGTACTGTTTTTCATCTCAAATGGAAGAAGCTTGTGAAAGTAATGACTGCAGTGACCCTCTCTTCATTCGCTGCTCACACTGTGAAAAGTTTTTTTTGCTTCAACCATTTGGTGTATAGCGATATACGATGTGGTTCTTGGTAAGAGGGGTTGTAAGATTGGGTGTTCAGTAATACCGCACTTGAAGTCTTCACATTCCTTTACATAAAGCGCGAAGATGCTTGACGGTTCCCAAACGGAATTTCCGTGGACACTGTTTCCAGCACGGTTCGTTATGTTCGCGGTCCAAAGGTGTCCTGTCTACTAGTCCAAAGACACGCGTGTCTAGAACGCCTTTTGCCACACAGTTTAGTGGCCCGAAAGGATAAAAGGCAAAACTAGCGTACTCATCAAGGATTCGAACCTCCATCTCGAGTCCCCAAGTCCATCCGCTTACCAACTGCGCCACCGAAGCACATCCCCGTTGCGGCTCCAGTGACTCATGAACGCACTCTCCGCCGATAAACGATTTCGCAACTTCGTTCAGAGAATCGTTTAGCAGATTTGGAGGGTGCAAGTCATCTCCGGAACTTCTCAGCGTCCCAGATTGGACTCCCTACCAGAAATATTCGCATGCCATCTTGCTGAAGGCCATGCCGAGTGGGATCTGTTCCTTGTTGAGCTAGACTTTCAAGCTCGAAGCGGTCGAAGCCTGAGCAGATTCGTACCCAAAAACGTCAGGTAGGAGTGCTTCTACAGTTGCGGTCAAAAGTGTTCGCCGAGACGGTTTTTTGTGCATTAAATTTTCCCTCTTGAAAAAGTCTTGCAAATTTTTTTTTGGAGTGTTTTCTTCCGCATGTCTTGAATCCTTAGAACTCAAGGGTTCGAAACCACTAGAAGACACAAGAATCAACACTAAAAAACTAAACTAGTCAGGTGAGAAATATTATCTACGAAAACGCTTCGGCGAACTTTTTGACACATACTGCAGATGAATCGTGAAAAACGTACTGTTAAACCATATACAACTGTACACATATATGAACTGCTGCTAAATTAGCTGGGAGCTGTATTGATATTGCTTGTCAGAAGTGTTCTGTAAAAGAGACGTCTTAAAATGCAAAGTCCGCTCTGGCTGATTTTCACATCTCTAATGAAGACTGAGAATATCATGTAATATGGCCTGTACCTTCAAGAATCTTTTTTTAAACTGCTATCATCCAACAAAATTGTATCAGTATTCGAAATGTCTCAAAGGTTATTACGTTCAAATATTGTTGTGCTAGGAATCCGTCCCGGTTTGTATCTCAATCCTCCCAGCTGAAGTCTATTCAACAAATAAAATTGAACAGCATGATCGATCAGATTCCTAGAACAAGCTCTTTGTCTCATCCAGGGAGGGGCATGTGGTGCAACTGTTGCCACCGCCTACAAAAGCTACAATTTCCGTAAGGGGAAGGAATCCTCGACTGCGTGAACCCTGGAGTAGGCCCCACTTTTACACCCACTCGTAGCCTCGTGCCCCTGTGAAAAATGGATTGCTTCATGCTGTATGAACTGTTGCGCCACATGCCCCCTCCTATTGGATGAAACCCTGATTTCTTGAAATATGGGATATTTGAGTGTAGTTATTTTTATGTAATAGTTTCTTATTTCAAAAACATCGGATCTTCTTTCTTGCGTATTCAACGTGTCTTCCACAGTTGCTGACTTTCATATGCGAATTGGGATGATAAGTTGTTATTCTCGTGTCCATGTAGGACAGAATTTCTGCTTAAATACAGAAGAGCGTGATCGTAGCTGTTTGAAAAATCCCTCTTTCCAATTTTATTCTTGCGAAATTTCAATAGTTCTACTCATTTATTGTAGAGAGTAGTTTGAAGTAGGTTCTGGTAATTGATTTACAACGAACGTTCACTGTTCAGCATAGCGTCGGAGCCGCAGCGGCCGTTGGACTCGCATCGGCCACTCCAGATGTTTTTGAGTTTGCTGACGATCGTTCCGTTGGCAGTGGCTCAGCCTATCCGTCACCCTCGCCTCAGTATACTCCATTCGCATATGGGACCGTTGGAAGCCCGATTTCCGGGCAGTCGATGAGAGGAAGTAAGCTGTTATAAAATTTTGCTTGCTTATTCATGCAATGGATATTGCAAAAGATATTTCGCTTTCTTCGCAAGCAATAATATCCATATTTTTAACACCAGTAAAGGGATGTGGTGCAAGTCGACAGAATGACCTTAGTATTTTGTACCATTCGGAAGTGTTAAATTCGTTTCAGCCGTAACAAAGCGGCGTCCACGTGCTCGAAAAACTGCAAATATGGGAGATCGGATGGGTGATCTTCAACAAACAGCTGGTAAAGATCCTACAATGGCCGGTATTCCTACACGGAAGCCTCGCGGTATGTGGTTCTCCTCAATTTTCTTAGGACTTCTTCTGATTCTGTCATACTGCACTATGTATAATTACCGCCGTACATGTAACAAATGTTGGCGAGGAACTGTTCCACTTGGTTCCTAGAATTCCTTTACTATGAATCTTTTGTGCATTTATCTTTCTCTTTTTCTACTGCATCCTATTCCTTCGATGTTTTGTCCCTATTCTCCAAATTCAAACGCTTCAACCCGATTCTTTCAATGCCCTATGTTGACGTAGCTTCCCTAAGACGCCCTCTTCCCATGCGTTCCCTTTTCTCCTGCCCAACCTACCTTCAACTGTCTACGGAGTGTGGTTTTCGTAGGTTTCTTTTCGGAAACGATGGTTTCTTGCATGAAATTCATTCCTTGTTCCAAGTGAACGCAAATGGTGTGTTTTTATTGGAAAGAACAAGAATACGGTTGACGGACTACTTGAACTCAGCCCTTTACCGCCTCTGCGCTCTCTAGCGGGTCCCTCTCCTCTCCAAGGCTTAGTCCTAGGGCATTCTAGCCATCGCGGTTGGACCATTGAGGAAAAATCAAGTGGTCCGTAAACCCAAGACCATGGCGATTCCTCCATTTGTCAATAATTGTAGAAGCGTGCTTTTGGCTTGCGCTTGCTGGACGTTCTTTATTCCTTAATTTCACTGCGTTACGCAACCATCTATTTTTGGATTCCTCAATTTAGTTTAGTTATACGTAACCTTGGTGACGTTCTAGGAAAAACTGGAGTACGTCGTCCACGTGGTTCTCGTAAAGCGGCATTAGCAATGTCTCATGCCGATTTGGAAATGCAGCAGCGGGTGCCTCCTCCATTGCAGAGGTCGTACAGTGATTACGAACAAATGTCCAATCCAGGTGGGTGATGTTTTTTCTCAGTAATGATAGAATGGTACATTTGAAAAATCCCTTTCTTAAGGTGCTCTTGGGGTCTCAACATCTCCTTACGTGGACACCGAGTCTGATGACGAATGTGATCCCCCACCACCGCCGAAATCGTTGGGGATGTTCCCGTCGCGCTCACCTGTGACAAGTCAGGTTACAGCAGCTTCAGCTGCAAACAGTCCTTCACATGTGAGCTTTTTGAAACAGTGTCTTTAATTCATTTCGATTCCTTGTGTTCGAAGTCCTGGCGCAAAAGCAGGCATAGTAGAGACCCGAGTACCTAAAAATGATGGATAATTTTAGTCAATGAGTCCATTGTGCGTTCCGGTTGGCACTCCATCGTCCTCCACTCATCCTCCTCCATCGCCTCTCGCAGCGGCTTCCCCGACAGTAAGCCAGCCTGCACCATTGCCTTCGCCACGAGCAGCGCAACCGCGAAAGACCAGTCTTGACGCGGTCGTCGGAAGATTAAAAACTTCGGCGCCATCTCAATCCACCCCTCCGCCGAAAAGGAGTGTTTTCAAGTGAGTGGCCGATTAGTCCAAGAGCATGATAAAAAGAAATTAGGACTGACTTCTCTACTTTGTCCATTATAGCGACCTTTACGACGATGGAACGGAATCTCCTCCACCACCTGAAGAGCGCATCTCGGCTGCATCCACAGTACCGTCAACACCACTTTCAAGCACCCCGGTCAGCGCATCGCCCTTACAATCTGTCACCGTTACAACTCAGGTAATTTTTCAGCTTTGTTAACTGAGCTCGATGAAAATTAGGGCTTATGAGAGTTTGTTCCACAAAATTGGTTTCTTTTCTCTTTTCGGAAGGTTTCTCAATGTATAATAAGAGGAAAAAGGAGCTCCGCACTGTTTTCATACTTCTAAGATGGATCACGAATTTGATTCTCTTCCGAACCTTGAAGGAGTGGTAATGTATCTGACTCCAACATTCACTTACGATTATAAGCCGATGTACTCTGTATTCATCACTCATCAAAAGGATTCTAGTTGTGGAAAACGGAACCGGCACTCGTGGGCGGTTGTGCTAGCGTATAAGGTGATGAGCCGGTTAGCCTATTTCGGCAGTAATAGCGTGATGATGAGGACTCTGGCTGATGTTACAATTTTTGCTGCGGCGTCAAATAGCAGTCAAAGTCTAAATTGTATAAATTATTGTTTTCTTCCTAATCAAAGGTACCGGTCAATTAACCTTGGAGGGTAGTCTATGCATTCGCCCACTGCGCCTCCCCTCTACAAGCTCACATGGTTCAAACTAGTTGCATTGATAGAGTAGTAAAATGAGCAAAGTCGGTGTTGGGAATGTTTCTGTGGTTATTCAACGTTTCCTGGCTTGAACGGTAGTATTGATGATGTCATGGATACCACCTAAGTTGGTTAGGCGATATTTCGCCTAATTAATTTAGGTGACATCCATCACCTTATTTATTAGATGATTTATTAGTTCTTACCAATATCGTTGTTGAAACTGATCTGAGTGTGGTAGCACTTGTGTCTATGAAAGCATTTAATTACGCTTTGCAGTGTCTGCTAGCGAAGCTTGGCGAATTTTTGCTTTAGTAGTGGGGAATCGAGTAAAACCG